TCTACATGTTAGATTGGCATTTTGTCACCATTTAAATAGTGAGCTTTGGTGTCTTCATGTGTAAAGTGACCCCCTATTCCCATTAACTAGTTTCCTTTAACTATGAAATTCTCTGAGCCCTAAGTATTTATTTTTGTTCTAGGTTATCTCTAATCCTGTAAAAAATTTTTTCCCATCTTTTTGAGACAGGGTCTCCCTGTAGCACCAGCTGGCCTGGAACTCAGTATATAGACCAGGCTGGCCTTGAACTCACAGAGGTCTGCCTGCCTTTGCCTCCCAAGTGCTGGGACTACAGGAGTGTGCCACCACACCAGGCCTCTAATCCTGTAAATTTTTAAGCCAGAAAAAAGTATGCAGGAATGCCCATAGGGGAAGCCAGTCAGGTTTCCAAAGATCTGTTTCCTGTAGGAGACTTTTGCATCTGCAGTGCCATCAGAGTGTCCTGCATGAGACTGACTTTTTAATGAGTGTAATGGAATTTCCTTTGGGATCCTGCCTCTGTCAGTGCATTAAAAATATGAACTAGTAAAAGTTGACAAACCTGTTGTTATTTTATTGAACACTCTAAATGTTATTTTATGGAAAACTTCATTTCCTGCCATTTGTTTTAACTTGGGACATTGCTAGTGGAGGTTTCAATTGTGAAATCTTTTGATCCATTAAGTATAAGAGCTAGTACAGATGTTAAACATAAGTTTCCCCGTCATGTTTTACTTCCAGTAAAAGAGTGGCATGTCACCAGGGCCACAGTTGCAGACCCTAATTATGTGAACTAGCTTCAGAATAAATATATGTCCTCCAAAAAAGACTGTTAATGTTTTTAATGCCCATGGCTAGAAACTGTGATACGGAATACAGTATTGGTATTAAGCAAAACAGTAACAAGAGGGAGGCATGGCTTTCACAACTGTGAACTGTACAAGGCATTTTGTGTTCCTTTTGTAGCACTTTGGTCCCGATTATTAGGAATCAGAGCAGTGGTACATAGCTGTTTGTATTCATAGTGAAGGCCGTAATGCATATGGGAAGGTCTTTAATCCTAGTCACTAATCACTGGAAAAGAGGGCTTAATAGAAAGTGCGACTTCCTCTTCTCCGCTACATTTGGATGTTGATACAGGCGATTGGCTTCATTTCGCGCAGTCCTGGCATTTGCTCTGAAGCGTTCTCGTGTGTCAGGTCCCATTCTGTCCTACAGGGGCTGGAGGGGGTGTCGGCTTCGTTGCTACCAGGTGACTTCTGGATTTGGTTAGTGCTCATGCATTTGAGAGTGAATCCAACAAATGCCAGCTAAGCTGTTAAAAATGACACAATGCAGCTCATGTGTTTACATGTTATTAAATTGGAGGAAGATAGTGTTTATAAAATAGCAGTTCTTTTTATAAACAAAAAACATGGGAATACAAAGTAATGGAGAGACCTTTGTTCATTCTTATTACTTGGCTTTGAAATAAGTTACTTAGAAGAAAGTGGCCAAAAGTAAGGTCCTGGTTCTACCGAAGGAACCCACTCCCTTCTGGCCTGTAATGTGTTTGGACCAGAGTCGAGGGATTTTTTGGTATCTCCTGCCTCCATTTTCATCAAAATGCTCATGGAGAAGCCAATTTGCAGTGGCTTTGAGGGTTTTCATTCATTCTGCTGATGCTGACAGCCCTGTGGGGTCTAGTACTTGATCTAAGGCTGATTGTGATGTGTAGCCTATCCAGTACCTGACCACAGGAGGTCTTGGTCTATTTGGTAGAAAGACATGTTTGTGGGATTCATAATTACATTAACATGTGCTAAATATAAAAGAAAGGCAACATATCCTGTCAGAAGAGTTGAGAAGGCTAGAGGGAAGGCTTCAGTCAAGGGCTTATTTGCTCAAAGAGCAATGCCCGAAAAGGTGGGTGGGGTCGACAACAGAGAATGGGAGGTAGGCAGTTATTAGGTGCCCAAGGTTGTCCGGGGTGGCTGGAAACTGCTAACATGGGGATCCAGGTGGCGCTCTGGCTGGAAGGAGTTATAGAGGATGTTTAGCTGCTTTTCATTGTGTAGTCAGTGGCAGAGAGCTCTTGGAGGCTTTTGAGCTGGAGAACAGTGCGAGTTGGAACATCAGCAGTATTCACCAGGTGGCTGCTTTGAGAGGCTTAAGAAGGAAGTTAAAGTTGCAATTCAAGGGAAGAGAAAGCATTCTCAACCAGGACAGTGGAGGGCAAGAGAAGGAAAAGATGATCTAGGAACTTGGCTGTTTTGGGGACAGAATCCTAGAAATAGTCCAAATGTCTTTGTCTATCACCTGAAAACGGACTTGACCCTGTTGAGGCTGAGAGGGCTTCAGAATGAGCTCTGAGCAGAAGAAAGAAGTGGACGTTGCAGGGCATTCTCCATCTCTGCAGCCCAGTGCCAGGCACTCTGCTCAAGAGTCTGGAACCATGCAAGTTTGTGGTGGGCTGTATGCTACATGCAAGAGACTTTACCGCTGGGAACAGTGCTGTCAGATGATTGAGCTCCAAGCTGACCTGGATTTGATCATGGCTCAGCATTTCTTAAATAGGTGATCTTGAGCAAGTATAGAAACATGTTTTTGTTTTTGTTTTCCCCAGAAAGGGGAAGGATAAAACATGGTCTCTTGAGGATTCATTTCAGCAGAATGAATTTGCACACTGGAAACACTGAACCCAGCACCTGGTACATATCTGAAAGGAAGGCTTCTTAGGCATTGGCAGTCCTTACCTATAGGGAATGTCGATATGGGCCTGCGACAGAAAACAATCATGGCTGGGGTGGTTTGAGAGTGCTTGGAGGCCTCCGGCAAGGCCAGCCTCCCTTAGGGAAGTAGGAGAAGGAATCGTAGAAAGAGCGCCAGGTGAGAGCACAGGAGAGGACCTACAGAGCTGAGGTCCGTGCCAGATTTCCCAGGCAAGGAGAATGCTTCAGGATGGAAATGACCAAATTTAGAGACAGTGGGGTGGAGTGGAGTGGGGGTGGGGCCCTGGAGGGGTTGTCACTGAGACTGGACATTGAGTATGATTTTCAGGGTGACAGCTACCAGTCTGGGAAGGACTGACTGCAGGAACACAGAAGCCAAGTTACCTGTGGGTAGCAAGAGTATCTCGGACAGGAAGATTCTGTGGGCTAAGGAACCTCATTGTCTTGGTAGAAGAAGGGATGGAAGGCAAGGTTTCTCGAATACCTTAAAGATAGTATGACTTTTGAGTTTGCACTCATAAAAGAATTGCTAGGACACAATGGACATGTGCTGCAAGCCCACCACATTGCACAGGTCATTGTCATCCATGTGTGCTGTTCTCCAGGCATACAGTGCTCAGTGTGCGAAGCCTGTGCAGCAGCACAGGTGCAGTGACATATATAGTGTAAACAGATAAAGTAGAGCATGTAAAATCAATTAATGCAGTAGAGTGCATACAGTGCATACATAGGATGGGCAGGAACATTCCAAGTGCTTTTGCTTGTATCTCATTTAGTCCCTCAACAACCCTTTGAAGCATGGATATTACTCATCTCAGTCCATAGCTGAAGGCAGCTAGGACACTTGCCCTGACTGCTAAGTGATGGATCTGGGATTTAAAGCCCAGGCCTTCTGGCTACAGAGCCGGTGTCCACATTCTGTTGTTTTCAGTAGTTCATTTCTGAGATGTTTCAGATGAACCAATAGCATTAGATACCATGTTTAATTAAACAAAAAAAGAAAGGTACTAGAAAAAAGATTGAATGGAAATGAAGACTGGCTGGTAGTTGCTGATGTAACACTGTTTCTCTGATTAGGATCAAGAGTGCAGGTAGAAGGGCCATGCTTGGTGACACACCTTTAAGCCCAGCCTAGGCCATATAGAGAGACCCTGTCCTTAAAAAAAGAAATGCAGGTATAAGGGCTGTCAGGAGAAATCACCTATTTGTTCTCCAAGAGAAGAGGGAGAGGAGATTTGGAATAGTGCAGAGAGTGAGAGACAGGGCTTTCGCAGAGTGGAGCAGAAGACGTTAGAGTTGTTTGGTGATAAGGGTAACCACCATCCATCATGAGACTTTTCTGGTGGGTTGAAAGCAGTTTCCCATTGAGAGGTGGTTAGACCTGCTGAAGAAAAGGCCAGGAGGATCTAGCCTCAAGGTTTCCAAAGTGCCCTCTGGTGGAGCTGTTGGGGTCCTCTGCAGAAAAGATTGCAGGTTGGTGAGCTCCTGCTCACTGCCGCTGGTAGAGTTTAGCAGAAGGTTGAGGGAGTCTTGTTTTCTACTTTCTGACACAGGTTTAGGGGAGGAAGAGAAATACAGAGCAGAGGAGGAGGAAGGAAGGAAGGGAGACGATTTTACATTTGAGGACTGTTGAGGCATGGATGATCCTTTCCTGACTAGTGTCCAAGTCACTCAGTTTTGAAGTTTCCAGAAAACAGACACATCATTTAGAGTAGTGCTTCTAACTCTCAGTAGAAAAGGGCTCTGGTGTTCTTTAAGACTGTGAGCTGTTTATGTTTTGGAAAAATACAATAAATTAGAAAACAAATTAAGAACCAAACATATGAGCACAAATCCAGTTTTTCTATTACTAGAGGCATCAGATGCGGTTACTCTAAATTGTTTCTTAAAGAAGTCCTCAGAGCTTTCTTTGGATGTTTGCTGTTAGGTGCTGTATACTATTCCTTGCACATTCAATCTCACTTGGCCTGGTACTGGTTGAGAGTTTAGATACCAGGCAGGATGGGACCCCTTAACTCTTCCCGAGTGCCTAGCCCAGTGCCTAGCATGTGATGGAGACTCCTCAGGTGGATGCTGGTTACACCATCCCTGTAAAGGGATGATTTTTGTATGCAGTACAGAAAATTTCAAAAAGGAGTTAATTAAGTTTACTCACCTGTAGGCGGACAGAGCCAAAGCAGCATATGCTTTGCCTTATTTGGCAGATTTTCAAAACCACTAAGGTTTTTGTGCAAACTTTAGTTCTCAGGAAGGACTTGTCTCTTGGTCCATCTGTGTACTAACCTGAGCCCCAAACCCCTCTGACTTCAGGTGGTGGCAGCGGCTAAGGTGTGTGGAACTACAGACGAGTCACCGTCAGTGAAGAGCCTCCACTTGCTTGTTGCTGATACCAATTTTTCCTTTAAGGCTGGCCAGTGGTAAGTGGTGTTTCTTTTTTCCAGGGTATATATCTAAGAAGGTGCTGTCAGATGAAAGGGATTACGTTTTCTTCTGGAAAAGACTTTGTGGCTAGCTGTTCCCCACCTCCTCACTGGGGGAGAGGAATTCTGGGGCATTTCCATTTTGGCATGGACAATCTGATTCCTTTCTTGGCTGGAGTCCTTGGCCCTCTGTCATGTCTCAGACCTGTCTTGAGTAGCTAAGCTTCAAACAAAGCAGCTCGTATTGGTCTGTGGACCCACAGCTCTGACAGTTGTGTCTGCAGAAAGACTGGCTGATGGAACACACTGCAGTCATCTCATCTGAGTTATATGTGCTGGGCATTCATGCCCTTCTAAGCGTTAGCCTTCTTTCTAATACAGAATGGACAGAGCAGCTGGAAGAAGGGCTGACCACCCTCCTGACTGAATTCCTGCTGCCCATGCCTTGTCTGGGTTGAGTTCCAGTATTTTAATTCATTATCAGGATTCCCCAGTCAGGCCAAATACACACACATACACACCCCACCCTGCCATCACACACAGATCATCCTAAGTGTGTCCTATTGGACTCTGAGGACTAATCAGTATGCTGCCAGGCTAACAGCCCAGCTGTCCCACTGTTTCTCGGAATGGCCTCACTGAGCTGCAATTCAAGTTGAATTGTAAATAAAGCAACTTGTGTTTCCCTAGGAAAGGTGTGTTTGGGTGTGTGTGTCCTTTATTTAAATAACGCATTCATTTCTAAATGAATTCTGGCATGTCAATCTTGGTAGTGTTTCTTAGGAGTCACTTGACTAATTTTGGCAGTCCATCTGGAAATGTGGTTTTGTTAGGAGGAGGATGTGTGATAATAGCAAGTGTGATAATAGCAAGAGTTAGCAGTCTTGTGTTAATAGTTTGCCTTTGAATTTAGAACTAGAAAACAAGATGCTGATTGCAATAATTTGCGTTTGTGAAGCAATTTACTGCAATCTTTGCACATGTTCGGTGATACATATTAAATGCATTTTGGCAGTTTAAGGGGGTGGGCAACATATTTACCCTTCAAAAATGGTTGAGCAGTTATTACTTTGAAAAGTAGAAACTTTAATTGAAACAATGTTTTTCCATATTTCCTTCCCTGGGGAACTGGCCTGCACACAATGTTGTCTCTGTGCCTTCAACTCCTGAGTTCTTCCTGCACTCAGACCCCAGTCTTCTAGGTCCAGAGGGCCTGGGCATTGGTTATAATGCTGTCACCATAGTGGCCTGCAAGTGTGTGAGCACTCATAGACTGCAGTGGCCTGGTGAGAACAAGATTGTTCCTAGAAATGGGGTCTCACAGTGAATCTCACAATAAAAGCATTCTGAGTTGGGGTGGTGTCTAGTGGCTTTGGGCTAGTTTGCTATGATCCTGACAGACTTGGGCATCAGGGGTCAGACTGTGACCCTTACCATGTTAGCATTGTGGACTTGTACTCATTCCTGTTCCTGCCCCTCATCTTGAATGACTGCACCCTTACTCTGGCTTGAGGCCGTGAGCTCCTTATGATACTTGGCCTTACAGGTTACAGGCCGGCCTTTTGGGTTGGCATGTTGCTCTGCTTTGTACTCTTTGTTAGGATGGTGTTCTGCTTCAGGTCACTTAAATCTCCAGCTGGGAAATAGACTCTTGGCACTGTAGGAAGGAGGGAGAGGAGATGAGGTGTAACTGCCACAGAGATTGGTCAGGACTGAGTGAGAAGCTAGTAGAAACAAAAGCAGGGATCACGTCTAGGCTCAACCAAAGCTCCCCATCTCTAAATTCTTGACTGGTGCCACCTCTGACACCTGCCCAACTCTGCAATGAGGTTCTAGTCCAGCTCTAACTGAATAAATCAATGCTATTCACCACCACTGGAACCCTGACCACAGATTTCCCCAAGAAGAGTACATCATAGACAGAGATGGCCTTAGAGGAGACTGGTTCCTGTGTGGAACCCAAGAGCAGTCCAGCCCAGCGGGACCACTCATTCTGTGAGCAGGGTTAAGTTCTCAGGCTCGTCTCACTGGGGGGCCCACTGCTTACCAACTAGGTCCCTGGTAAGGCCTGCTCTTGACCTTGTCAGAATTTTTCCTCCCTCTCTGGGAGGGAGAATGTGTCACCAATGTCCCTGCATGGCTGCCACATTCTGAGGTGGCACTTGGCTGCCTGTCTCCTACAGTGGCTATACTGCTTTGGCAGGGAGGCTGTGAGCCTCATGCTTTTGAGAGGCTTGTGTTCTTCAAGTCAAGGCTTGTGTTCTTCAAGCTTCTGTACTTCTGTGGACTTGTTTTTACATATTTAAGAGAAAACAGTAGAACTCTTCTAAGCATTGGAGTATTCAAAGTGCTTTGCACAGTTTTCTAATGTTAACTTCATTAGTTTGGCTTTCCTTTCTGTTACTGTTAGCATTTCACGTAGCTAGTTAGATCATCGGTGCTGGTAAGACCAGAGGACAGCTTGCAGTTCTTAGTTTTTTGGTCTGTTCCCTGCAGCAAAGCTGTTGGTTAGAGGAGCAGCAACTAGAGTTAGAGGGGGTGAGTGCACACGGTCACGTGACATCAGTGATGCTGCTGCTGTTATTGTGAAGCCCGGCAGCCCTGAGAGAACTGAGACAAAGGAATAAAGCTACCCCTGGCCCCAGCGGCTGCTGCTTGGTAGGCAGGGCCTGTCCTCCACAGCCACGTGCAGCAGCCCTTTCCCTTGACCACACTCAGGAAGCATTGCATCCCTTGACTCTTCATTCAGACTGCCCTCCTCCATTGCACTGTCTATTCAGCTCTGTTCAAGCTCTGCTTCTGGTGGAATTGTCGTTTCCTTTGCCTGTCTCCCTGCTCTAAGGAGATTTTATTAGATTTCAGTGGTATTGTTAATTTTCATCCCATTTGAGTAAGTTTACATGGGGCAGGAAATAGGCCATCAGTGATGTCTCTACCTCCAAGTTCCACAGTGCTTACCACAGTAGGCAGGTTCTTCTGTGGTGTTGCACAAATGAGAGAGTAAGGAGCTCCGAGTGCAGCAGCACAGGATTAGAGTTCAGGACCTCAGAGTGTAGTGTCAGCATTTGGCCCCTTGTGTGCTGGGCACTGGTGCTACCTCTCTGGTCAGGGCCAGGCTGTCTGGGATGTCACAGTTGGACATGGGAATGTTGATTTGCTTCACTGGCCCGGCATTTGGTGTATACATGGTAGGTGCCTCAGGCTCATGACTCCTGGGGTGCTAATCCCTCATACAGTTGTGTTTAAGATTTGTTCTTTCTTGGAGAGATACTTTATGAAATGTGTATTATGCATATTTGCTTAAATTAAATGGTGCTTTTAATATAATTTCAATTCTTCTGTATCTTCTAATGAAGGATCCTGTTTTCTGAAGGCAGCTCTCCAGCGGTAGAAGAGTTCCTTGTGCTTTTCTTTATCAGTATCAAGCAGCAGAGGGCACTATAGTTCAGGAGATAAAGCAGCAAAAGCAGCTCGGTTTTTACACATGGAGTTTCTCTGACCCATCACCAATAGTGTTTGTAGCAAATGAGGTAATAAATGTGAACTATAGTCTTTAAATTTTATACTTATTTGAAATAAAAGGTAAGTTAAGGAGAGTCAAATGCAAATAGGTGAAAGTAAGGTGGGGTCTCTCTCTACCCTCCAGAGCTGGTTTAAATTTATTATTATTGTTATTATTTTGAGACAGAGTCTCATGTAACCCAGGCTTCCCATGAACTTGCTATATAGCTCTGGAGGACTTTCCCCTCCAGATCTGGTTTAAATTTATTATTATTGTTATTATTATTGAGACAGCGCCTCATGTAACCCAGGCTTCCCGTGAACTTGCTATATAGCTGAGGATGACCTTGAACTTCTGATCCTCAGGCGTCCACCTCCTTGGTTGCTGGGATTACATAGGCATGTGTCACCATGCCTGGTTTATGCATTGCTGGGGATGGAACCGTGGTTCATGCTTACTAGGCAAGCACTCTGCCAACTGGCTACGTCCCAGCCCCAGCATAATCCAATTCTAGGACATTTTCATTATCTCACAAAGAGCACCTGTACATTCCCTACCTGTTTCTCATCCTCTGTCCCGGAAGAAAACTATTGCTCTACTTTCTGTCTTTATGGATTTTCCCATTCTGGACATTTCAACTAAATGGCGTCATAAAACATGTGATATTCATGTGGTTTCCTTCACTACTATGACTTCAGGGTTTATTTGTGCTATAGCACGCATCACTTCTTCATTGTGTTGCATGGATATATTGTGTTTTGTTTATCCATCCATCAGTAAGTGGACGTTAAGATTGTTTGCACTTCTGAGTTGTTATGAATAATGCTGCTAAGGACATTGGTGCTCATGTTTTTAAGTATACTTTTTCATTTCTAGTGAATGTAAATCTCAGTGGAGAAATGTGGTTCAGGAGTTAAGTGCCTTCCTAGCATACACAAGGATCTAAGTTCAATCCCTAGCACCTCCAGGAAAAGAAAGAAAAAAAGTGGGAATGGAATTGTTGGGCCATAAGGTAACTCTTAACATTTCCATGCCAGGCTTAGTCCAAGTGGTTCTGCCATTTGGTGTGCCAACCAGCAATGTATAAGGTTCCATTTCTCTACATCCTCATTAACATTGACATTGTTTGTCTTTTTGACTGTAGTCATCCTTTTGGGTGTGAAGAAGCAGCACATTGTAGATTCGATCTCTGTTTCCCTAATGAGCAATAGTTTTGAACATCTCTTGAGCTTATTAGTCATATATCTTTTTAAAAATTATTTAATAACCATATAACTAGAAGAAACATTTCATTACAACAGCATTGACATATTCAATAACAATTTCCAGAGCTAAGATGCATCTCTTTTAAAATTGGCTGTAAATTTTTAGGTTTATAATTGAATTAATACAGTTATACAATATTGTACTCTGTATAACCCCTGTAAAACATAAAATTAAATGAGGTTTTAAACTTTAAAAAAGATCTCCATTTCATTATTAAAATACAGTTTCA